TGGCTGTATTTGGAGACAAGGCCTATAACGAGGTAATTAAGGTTAAATGAGGTCAGGAGTGTGGGACCCTGATACAGTAGGGTTAGTGTCCTTATAAGAAGAGAGCTCGCTCTCTTTCTCTGCCACTCTCCCTCTCTTTCTCCACCGCCCCCCCCCCGCCCCGCCCAAGTGAGCGCACAGTCAGAAGGTGACCATTCATAAGCCAGGAAGACACTTTCACCAGAATGCAAGCTTATGGCCCCTTGCTTTTGGACTTTCAGCCTCCAGAATTATGAGAAATAAATCTGTTGTTTAAGCCGCACAATCTGTGATATTTTGTTGTTACGGCAGCTTGCACTGACTAAAATCAATGGTTACTGGGCCCCTGCATGTTTAAAAAGAATGTCTTCCTGTGCCTTCACAGGCTCCCTGGTGACAAGAAAGGGGCGAGCACCCCAGCACCCAGGGAAGAGCCATGCCCCCTACTGACATCAGGGGCAGCACAGAAGGCTTGGGTCATCTTCAGGCTCTGGGGTCTGAGGGCCAAACTGCCAGGGGACAGAGTAAGAGGAAAGGCTCAGAGAGGATGACCGATTTCTCATTTTGGTGAAGGCTGTTCCAGTTCTAAGACCCCAAAAAACTGTGTCTCAGGACAAGGTTTTCCACTCCCTCCTGCTATACTGAGTACAAGCCTGTCTCCTGCCCCGGGGTATGGATGTTGGAGCCAAACTAGGCTCGGGTAGGAAGCAGGTGGTATTATTCAGACTTCCTTAGAAAAACAGAACCAAGAGGATGTGTCTATATAGAAAGAGATTTATTATAAGGAATTGGCACATGCAATTATGGCGGCTGGCCAAGTCCAAAATCTACAGTGTGGGCAGGCAGACTGAAGATCCAGGAAGAACTAGTGGTACCTTTGTAGCCTCGTAGTTGTCTGCTGTAGAACCAGGAGGAGCCAATGGTTCAGAGGAAGTCCAAAGGCCCATCTGCTGAAGAATTCTCTCTTGTTTTGGGGAGGTCTGTCTTTGTTCTCTTTCAACTGATTAGATGAGGCCCATCCACAGTAGGGAGGACAATCTGCTTTATTCAAAATCTACTGATTTAAAGGTTAACCTCATCCAAAATGCTTACATAGAAACACTTAGAATAATGTTTGACCAAATATCTGGGCACCCGGTGACCCAACCAAGTTGACATCTGACCACACAGGCCTCATTTCTGTAGCTTCTAGATACACAGGCTTCTCCTTCCTCTCCTTTGAGGGCCCAGTTTTCTCAGCCAGGAGCACATGGGAAGCCTCTCCTCTCTGCTTCTCCCTGGTGCTTCACCCCTGCACTGGATTCTTGTGAAAACTCCCTGAGGGCATTGAGGGAATGTCTTCAACCTCCTTATGTTTAGGGAAACAAACTCTTAGCCACGATCCTCAGAGGTATGATGTAGTGAAGGGGAAGGAGGGGAACTCTTTGGAGGAAATACACACATACACACATCACATATACTCACACATCACACACACGCACACACAACGTACACATGTGCATAGACACGACACACATACACATGTGCCCAAATACGCAATGCACACATATGCATACCATATGCACATACAATTTCAAATCCCCCCAATATTTCTAAGCTATATTGCCAAATGCTACTAAAATGCTATTGCCTCTCACTGGCAATTTTTTTTAAAAGATTTACTTATTTACTTATGCATAGAAGAACTGGGGTGTAGGCCAAAGGTGGGGGAGGTGAGAGGATTCACCAAAGATAGATTGGGGAGCAGAACAGGCAGCTCCACTGAAATACACTGCTGAGGGGAGCAGCAGATGAGACAGGAGAGATCTGCTGTGCCATGTGAGTCAGCTCCCTGCCTGGAGAATCAAACTCAGGCCACGAGGGTGAGACTTAACCCCTAGGCCACCAGGGAGGTCTTCACTGGCAAATGTTATTGTAGGACTGTTCAGAGCACTTTCTTGGGAGTCTCAGGAGGGTTTTCTCAGAGTTCTGGTGACCTGTTTTGCACCTATCTGCCTGCCTGACCTGAGCAAGTGATTCTTTAAGCTTCTGTTTCTTCATCGGTAAAAGGGAACTGCAGCCCCCACCCCTGAAGGTGCTTGTTCACTGAGCACCTGCTCTGGTCAGGCCCTGTGCTGGGGTCCACGTGACTTGTCATCACAGAGGCAATAGTCAAGGCAAGAAGACAGCAAGTAATGTACCCTGGGGTGTCTCATACTAGGCAGCTGCACGGGCTCAGCAGGTACTGAGGGGATTTGAGCTGTTTGGAATGAGTGTCTAAGATGCTCCAGATAAGGATATGGTGGGGCCTCTGTTGTGTAGTGGAGGCCTCAGCAAGGCCATTCCCCAAGGCGGGGGCGGGGTACAGGTCGCTGGGAGAGTAGGATGGCTGGAAAAAGGGCCTGGCACACCGGAGCGTTCGTTCCTGGAAAGGTCGGCCTGGACATGTACCTGTGGCTGACTTAGATTGGGCCTTACATGGCATGCAAAGCCTTTTGACATTTGCCGTTGGCAAATGACTTTTTGTGGGACAGAAACACAGCCGGGGGGTGGGGTTCACTTTGGGGGTGGTAGAAAGAGGAAGAGGACTTCTCTGAGGGAAAGACAAGGCAGCTGAGTCAGCACAGCAGTGCTTGGGCTCAGAGCTCCAGTCACCACCACCTTGTCACACCATGGGAGCCACAAGCTGGCCTCTCAGGCAGAACTGAAGGGAGGGTTCCCCGCCAGTCTTCTTCCCACAAGGCAAACAGCTTCACCCAGGCCTGGAGCAGCAGAACCTGGCTCCCTCCTTCACACCATTCCCTCCAGGCCCAGCTGAGGCCCGGTGGTCAGCACAGGCTCGGACTCCGTCTGTCCGTCCGGGTGGCCCAGTTCATGGGCCTGTCTCCTCTCATCGTGATTAAAGCGCTGAGGTCCACTGATTCATCAAGAAGTGAGTACAAATGGTTCTGAGTTCCACAGCATGGCAGGCTGCCTTGCTTCATGAATTCCCTGCCCTGAGTCTCTGCTGGCAGATGATGATTGCAAAAGACAAGGGAATTGTCTTTCTTTTAAGAGGAATCATTCAGCTGTGGTGGTGGTTATTCGTCCTTTGGCGGTGGGCGTGGTGAGGTAACACACACTGGAAGAAGTGCAGACCTGTACTCCTAAAACATCTACAGTGTTGTAACCAATGTTACCTCAATCTTTTAAATTTTTTTTAATTTATTTATGCATACAAGAACAGGGTTACAGGCCAGAGGTGTGGAGGGTGAGAGGATTCACCAGAGGATTCACCAGAGACAGAGTGGGGAGCAGAACAGGCAGACCGACAGAAATACACTGCTAAGGGGAGCAGCAGGCGAGACAGGAGAGGTCTGCTGCACCATGTGGGTAGCTCCCCGACTGGGGATTGAACTCGTCCTGCAGTGGCTGTGGACAGCTTCATAGGTTGCGTCTTAACCCCTTGTGCCACCAGGGAGGCCCGCCTCAATATTTTTTTTAAAAAAAAGAGTGGACAGAGTCCTGGAGGAATGGAGCCCGGAACTCCAGCAGGATATGGTGGAGGGGGAGAAGCGTATGAAGGCCCCCCCCAAAAAACACCCGATCAGATGTGGTATCCAGGCTTTCATTCCCGTTTGTTTTTGTCTTGTCTGGATACCAATGTTTTAATTCTTGCCTTTCAGTAAGAAAGCTACATTTTTATGGATGTTAGCAGTTTGTTGACCTAATATTTTTAAATGGTCTCTTTGGGCAGGTAAAATTATGTAATGCAGTGTTTAAAACGGGAATTTTTTTTCCCTCTTTATTTCCTTTTTTTTTTCCTTTAGACATATATTGTCCTCCAAGCTATGGCAGTATACCTTGTGCCACTGAGTTTCCAAAGTGTACCAATTTTTTTTTCACTGTGCTTCAAATATAGAAAAAATAATTACAAAAAAAATTTTTTTAAAGAAAAAAATTTAAAAAGAATCACTCACTCATGTTAGCAACACGGCAGCAGCCCCCCGCCCCCTCAAGAAGGAGTCCCTCACCTTCAAACCTGTGAGCTCACCTAGATTTGCCCCTTCCATCGCTGTAGCAGTTCAGAATGCTGAGAAGTTTTTTAGAGGTGGAAGGGACCTGAGTCATGAACGTCAGAAATGAAAGTGGAGGCCCCATTTTTCAGGTGAGAAAGTTGAGGTCTAGAAAGGAAGTGACTTGCCCAAAGTCACGTAGCTAGAGGCAAAGGAGGCCTCTCCCCAGTGCCCTGGCCTCCTGCTCCCAGCCAAGCCCTCCTGGCCCTGTACATCAATGGGCCTTAGAAGGCCCAACAGAGCAGCACAGGAGCAAGATCTGGCAGCCAAGGTCCAGGGCTGCCCCAGAACACCTTTGGCCTCCACGGGTCACAGGCAGCCCCTGAAGGCCAGCCTCCCCCAGGATGCTGCCTAGGATGAGAAAGCACTTCACCCCCATCCTTTAAACACTGCCTTCAAAGGCAGGGGCCTGGGACAGGCGCCACAACCACTAAGGTGGATGAAAGGTGATGCTGAGTGAGCCTAAATTCCCCCAATGAGTTAGAATACCAGGGTCCCTTGGAGGGAGGGTGTGTCTAGGCCCAGTGGGAATCAGGCCCCTCCAGTCACCAGCTGCGCTAGCACACACTCTAGAGTCCCCATCTGCAAAGTGGTGTTGATCATACAGTGTCACGTGTCACTTCATGACGGGCACACGTTCCGAGAAACGCACCTTTAGGTGATTTCGGCATCGTGTGAATGTCATAGACTGTAGATGGCCCAGTCCGCTACACACCAACGTGTAGATGCAGCCCATCATTAACCTGACATCATTCAGTGATGCGTGACTAGCACTCAGCTCATGGGGTTATTCTGAGCATACAATGATGTACCCATGAGCCAAGTTTAGCAACGACTAGACCAATCCTTGTGGTGCCCTCCACTGCAGTCCAAACAGCAGGGAAGCCCCTTCTCGCCTTTTCTCCCGTCATCACCATTGCGTTGGGTGGCTCGACTCTGTTCCCTACCATGTATTCTCACAAGATGTTCAGGACCCAAGGTTTCCTGGCTAAGACACAAAAGCAGACTCATCCCATTCCCCAGTGGATTTGGGTAAAACCTGGTAATAAAATCAGGATCTACTCCAAGATGAGACATTGGAGAAGAACCGAGCTGGGTCCCTAAGGAGAATGGCGCATGCGATGGTGGCCATCTTTATGCTGTATCAAGGTCAGAAGCATCTTACCAAACCCTACTTTACACATCACTTTTTGGACATGCTTAGGAAATTTCTTTTTTGTTTGTACGCTTCTGTACCTAGTTTGACTCAGAAATGAATATGTGGGCCTCCCCGGTGGCGCAGCGGTTGAGCGCTGGGTTGCGAAGCTGTGCGCGGCTTCTGCGGCGCCGGTTCGATCCCCGGCTGCTCCCCGGCCACCAGAGGAGGGTCCCACATGGCGCGCAGACCTCTCCTGCCGCCCGCTGCTCCCCTCAGCAGTGTACTTCGGTCCTTCTGCCTGCTCTGCTCCCCGCTCTGGCTCTGGTGAATTCTCTCACCCTCCCGCGCTTCTGACTGTACCCAGTGCTTGTATAAACAAAACAAACAAACAAACCAGCAAACAAATAAATAAAGCATGCCTCTATAAAAAAAAAAAAATAAAAAAAAAAAAAAAGAAATGAATATGTGCGATATTTGTTTGGAAAAAAGGAAAATACAGCAGGGAACATGTAGGAGGTGGTCCCCTACAGGCCACGGGGAGGAGCCTGGCACACCCACAGTGGAGCTAAGAGCAGCAGCAAGGCAACAGGAGATGGGAAAGTCCTCACCACCACTCTTTACCTAGCGATAGCCAGCCGTGTCATCAGACATGTACAGAAATGACAGACACCAAGTTCCATGTGGTGGTTAGCTGTGAAGACAGGCGACGCACCTGGGAAGGAAGGGGCATCTCTATTGGCAGCGCTTTATTACACTGTGTAGGAAACACTATTAAGTGTATCACATTGAAAAAAAATTGTTATCGAGGTAAAATTCACATCACATAAAACACACCATTTGGAAACTGCTGGTTTCCAAAGTGATCATGCCCTTTACAAGCCTCCCCACCCAACCTGCACCCCTAACCACCCACCACCCAGAGAACCACTCTTTCGCTAGCCTGTCACCTTCCAGGCCTCTGCTGACACACACCTCCCCTGGAAACCTTTTCTGCCCTCCCCAACCCCAAGCCTGGGATGGGGCCTCTGCCAAAGGCTCCCAGACAAAGGCTGTTACCAGGCCCACCACAGGGCCCTGCCCATTCCCCACCTCCAAAACACACACACACTCTCTCTCTCTCTCTTTCTCTCTCTCTCTCTCTCTGAGCACTTCAGGGCATAGGTGTCTTCCTTGCCCCATAGAGGGACTAGCCCCTCGTCGGTCCTCCAATCATTGAACAAGTGATTCAACACACACTATGTGCCAGACAGATACTGGACATACAGCAGCAAAGAAAACAGACAAAACTCCCTGCCATCGTACTGCTACATGAATATTTTGGGGATGAAATGGATGGATGAGTGAATGAATGAATGGTGAATGAATAAGTAAACTCAGAGCAACTGTCAACCCAACAGAAAACATGTCTCCTGGCTCCCTATTTGCCTCCCCCATGGGAGAGCTTGGGAGCAGGGAGAAGTGGAATAAATCAGAAAATCAAGCATCTGCTCCTAAGAAAATGCTGGCAAAGGGGCCAGGGCCAGGGCCAGGATGGAGGTGGGGATTCTAAGACTGTTCCACACGACAGACCCTAGTCCAGGTGACTCCCCTAGATTGATTTTCTTGGGGATCTGCGGACATGGTAGAGGTAATCCCTGCTCTCTCTGAGGGAGGCCCACGCCACAGCTCAGCTTCTCCACAAATGTCAAACGATCTCATCCCTCCCCATGCGGACAGAATGTAATGAAAACAATAGATGAGCATGCAAAGTTCAGACCCAGCCATCCCATGCGTAATTCAGTGTGGGGGCGGGGAGGAAGCTGAGATTTCTCCCCAAGTCCCCTCACTTCCCACATATCTCCTTTCCTCCATTCTCATCAACCCCCCCCACCTCCCCCCACACCCCACACCCCCCCACCCATGGATCGCACAGTGTGGTAGCAGCAACATCAGCATCACCTCAAAGCTTGTTGGAAATGCAAATTTCCCGGCCCCAACCCCCACCTAAAGAAGCTGGTGTTCTGGGGGGTGGGGCTGGCACTCTGTGTTTTAACAAGTCCTCCAGGAGTTTGGCTACCTGCTAGCTGGCTGCACTTGGAATCACCTAGGGAGTTTTAAAAGCTGCTGATGTCTGCACCTCCTCCCCCAGGGAGTCTGATGTAATTGGTCTGGGAAGAGGCCAGGTGATTCTGTGTGCCCAGAGGGCAGGTCTGAAACCCACTCCCCTGATTCTGTAATCAGGCCCCGAAAAAGCATTTCTCACTTACAAAGGGTTTGTTCCTGTGCTGATCTAGCACAGTGTTTCTCAAACTTGAGCTCACTGGAATCCCCTAGAGGGTTGTTAAAGCGCTGGGTTTCAAATTCAGTCATTTGCATTTCTAACGAGTTCCCAGGTGAGGCTGCTGGCCTGGAGAGCTGAGGGCCCATGCACCAGATGATCTTTAGAACAACCGTTCAAGGGCAGCCTCAGTTCACAAAAGTAGAAGTGGGACCCAGAGAGGCTAAGTGACTCTAGCAATGGTGCACACCTAGTCTGTGGTGGAGCTGGATTGGAACTGAATCAGCCCACTCCAGAGCCCATGGTCTGTCTTTGGTGATAATTATTCGGTAGAAGGACCAGGATTTGTTGAGGACAATCTTGAATTCTGTCCTTTGCCAGAACCTTCCTCCTCCCAGCCCCCCTTTCCAGGATAAACAGGGTGTCCCTCTCTGTGCTGACAAAGACTCTTTCTTTGGACCCAACTTGAATCAGATTCCTTCAGGAACTTTCTGACTAGGCTCCAGCCTTGGACTCTGTCCTTGGACCAGTGGCTCTGCCCATTAAATCTAGTTTCAGAAATAATCCTGTTCAGAAATAATCCAGTTTAGCCAAAATCCCCCACCTCTGACAGCTAAACAAATCCCTCGTGCCCCATATCTTGTCACTATGGCCTGTCAAGTCAGACTCCTCTTTACCCCTGCTGTTTCTTCTTTTCAATTCCCTTCCACTGATGCCCATTGTAGGGGCAGGAATGACACAGGGCTGGTTTTCTGATGCAGCAGACCGGGTAAAGGAGGAGTCCTGGAGCCCTGGGTGGCTTTGCAGGCTTTTATTGGGATTTACCAGGTATACGGCAGGCACGGGTGCTGGGGGGCCAGGAGGCTTGCAGGCCTCCCAGCCCCCAGCAAGTCTTCACTGGGGTTCTCTGGACTTCTCTGGTTCTTCTGCTTCTGCTTCTGCTTCTGCTTCTCTGCTTCTCCTCTGCTTCTCGTTCTGCTTCTGCTGGTGTCCCTATGATACCGCCCCTAAAAGCCCAGTCTCAGCCCAGGTGAATCCCATCTACCTATGCCCACACCCTACTCCAGGTGCCCGCCATCAGGCATGCATTCAGGACCACAAGGATCCATCATCTATCCTGATAGCGGGAGGGCAGAAAAGCCTGATACTTTTTACCTTACCCTATGCCCATCCTATACCTTGGCTACAAATTGCTGCGTGTCCTGTTGTAGTCATATATCAGCCAGTCCCTCTCCCCCATGGCAAACGCCCATTGCTACAGTCTCCATAAAGATGGTGGGTGGCGATGGTCCTAAGTAAAGTCTGCCTTACCATCTTTAGCGATATGTTTTTCTTTAACGATGTACTCACCTTCCTCCACGGTCTTTCCCTCAGCTGTAAAATATCTCTTGCTGCCCCCTCATGATTTGGGGGCTATATGCCACCCTGGTTCCCCTAGGTCTCTCTGATGCATTCCCACATAAGAAGGAGGGGCAGTGAATGGGTGCCATTTTCCCCACCTCCATTTACATGCAGTCACCTGGGATTACAAGTCCCAGCGTGCCATTGTAGGGTCAATGAGATTGGTCAGGCAAAAGCCTGACCGTTGGCCTCTGTGGCTATCACCTGCGATCTTGAATGCAGGAGGTGCTTGGGAGTGTGGGCTCGGGGTACACATGCCTGATGGTAGATACCTGGGGTATGGTGTGGGCATGTGCAAGTGGGCACACCTGAGCCTGGAGGCTGAGGCTAGAAGGGCGGCTATGGCGGAGCAGCTATGAGAGGACAAGTGATGGCTATGAGAGGAAAAGTCCACGAGAGGAAGCCAGAGAGAGCCCAGAGAGAGTAAAGATTTGCTGGGGGCTGGGAGGCCTGTCAGCCCCCCACCCTTGCCAGCCTGCAGGCTTGCCCCACAACAATTGGTGTAGAAAGAGCATTAAAGCCTGACAAAGCCATTGAGGGCTCCAGGACTCTCCTTTATCCATCTGCCTGATGGAGATTCTCGATGGAGAACCAGCCCTGTGCTCGCTGGCACTACAGCCATGAGCCAGACTGCCTGAGTGGGGGGCAGCTGGGAAGGAGTAAGGTGGACACATAAAGAGGGAACGAAGGAGAAACATGAAGAAAGACAAGAGATACTTGGGAGAGACACATGGGGAGGCTGTTCCTAGTCCTTGGCAGAGATGGTGGCAGCTGTTACCTTAACCTCATGGTGGGTATTTTGAATTTTGAGTCTCTGTCCTAGCTCTCTGGGACCTTCTGACCTCTTTTTTGAGGTTCCTTGCCAGAAGTTACCTTAGATTTATGGCAAGCTTTAGGATTTCAGCAGCCCTTCTTCCAGCTGAGCCTGTTTAACTGGGCATTTGCTTACCCGGGATTGGGTAATTTTTGGAGTTTTACTGAGAAACTATTATTTGAACTCCATTCCCCCCGCCCCATGCACACCAATTCTATGAAAAAATGTTTAACACCAAAAAGTACGCTTCTTTTGCCTTTGTGCACGTGGATGGCTGGATCCCTTAACAGTTTGGGGTCCCTGCATACTTACTCCTCAGTCACACACTAACAATATCACACCTCAGCCCCTCCAGACCTGCACTCTAATGTCAGCTATCAGGTATGAACTAAGCTCAGTTGGCCATTCTCCCTCCCAGCAACACCTGCTTCAACATGGAGAGTCTTATCAAAGTTAGTGGACCTTAGGGTAGAACTTAAGGCATTAATACCAGA